GCAAACATGCTGCACGTCCTATTCAGGAAGATTTAGGAGGAAAAACAAGTACCACTGACAAACTGGAAAGAGGGGGAAGCTCATCAAGATACCACAGAAAGGGGATCTTTGCAAATGTGAGAACTACAGAGGCATCACACTACTATCGGTACCAGGAAAGGTTTTCAGCAGAGTATTGCTGAACCAGATAAAAATTCAGTAGACACCCAACTTCGAGATCAACAGGCTGGATCCCGTAAGGTTCAGTCATACACAGACCAAATCGCGGCACTACGGATCATCATTAAGCAATCAGTTGAATGGAACCCGTCACTGTACATAAATCTCCTTGACTATTATTAGAAGGCGTCTGGCAGTGTGGGTAGGATAACCTTTCTGGAACCTTCTTCTATACTATGAAGTGAGAGTAGCTCAGAAAATCGTCAGAATCTTCCGGAATTCATACGATGGACTACACTGCAAAGTGATACATAGAGGACAGCTGACAGATTCATTACAAGTGAGAGATGGTATTAAACAAGACTGATTACTCTCTCCCTCTCTATTCTGATGGTTGACTGCATTATGAAGACCACATCTCAGGGGAAGCACGGAATACAGTGAACAGGTTAGATGCAACTGGACGATTCAGACTTTGTACATGGCCTAGCTCTTCAATCTCATACACACCAACAAATGCAGGTGAACACAACTAGTGTAGCACTAACCTCTGCAGCAGTACGTCTTAACATTCACAAGGAAAAAAAGTAAGGTCCTCAAATACAACACGGAGAACACCAATCCAATCACACTTGATGGAGAAATTCTGGAGGTAGAAACCTATACATACATACATAGATGAGCAGCATCGTCGATAAACAGAGAAGATCTGATGAAGACATGAAGGTCAAGATTAGTAAAATAAGAGCAGCATTTCTACAGTTGAAGAACATATGGAACTTAAAACAACTGTCAACTAACATCAAGGTCACAATCCTCAATACGAATATCAAGACAGTTCTACTGTATGGGGCTGAGACTTCCAGAACTACTATAATAATCATCAAAATGTACAAATGTTTTTGAACAATTGTCTACACAATATACTCCATATCCGTTGGTCAAATACCACCAGTAAGAACCTACTGTATCAAAGAACAAACCAACTTCCAGTCAAATATGAAATTAGGAAATGACGCTAGAGGTGGATAGGACATACATTGTGGAAGTCATCAAACTGCATCACGAGGCAAGTTCTAATTTGGAATCCTAAAGAGAAAAGGAAAATAGAAAGATCAATGAAAACACCACGTCGAAAATCGGAAGCAGATGTCAAAAAAATGAATAGCAATTGCAAAGGATTGTCCAGGACATTGTTGAATGAAGAATACTGGTAGGCGGCATGAGGGGTTCAGGCGTAAGGAAGTAAGTAAAAGGTGGTCAAGTGTGCTGTGTTCTTGTTTGGTCGAGGAAATTTGAGTTTTATATGTGACACAGCGATTAGTCTGGGACTTCAAGCAACTGTCTGCAAATTTTCCCATTCAATCTCATATTCTTATTCGTATATATATGAACAAGTACATCCTTTAAGAATGTAATTCACTGCATTATTCGACTAAGAATGGCTATTTCATCATATTCATCTGTCCTCTAACGCTGTAGTCGTTATAATAGTTATTATTAGTTATCTAAAACGTTTCTGCAATAGTCGATCTCGTTATTCTTCATTTTCATGGTTTATACATCTATGTTCGGTAATAACATTTATTGATTTTCTTAGATATTAAAGTGATTGTAAGTTATGTTATTTTTTCCTATCTCTTTTAATATACCTAGTATAGTCTGATATCGATTTAAAATCGAATGAATTTCGACTTGGTTCTGTGCTTTATGTCCAGCCTACAAATCGTAAAGAAGATATTTTATCTTTTTTTCAAATAACTCGTTTGAATCCAACTGAACGCGTAAAAATTACTCAATGCCATCCGAATTTTCCTGTACCTCATCTACTTAGTGCATTGGAAGAAAATGACTGCGATGTGTCTATCGCTTGGCTTGCTACACATTATTTTGATTTGAATGCAACTCCACAACAATGTTTCTTTGTTAATTACTGTGCTTTTGCTGTCAATTGTTTGAAACTTTCAAAAAGCCCGGATAGAGCACAACACATAGACAAAGATCGTTTAAAATTAGAAGTTGATCGGTTAACTGATCTAGCTTCAGCTGAAAATTCCGATGATATCGATGATTTATATGATTATGTTTTCCGTCCTTGTCGACGTGTAGTTGAAGTACTTGCAGATTTCCCGGTTACATCAAGTCTCTTAACATTACAGTATATACTTGACATACTTCCTGGCCCGATTCTTGCGCGACCCTATTCAGTGGCGTCTCCTCCACCGAAAATTGAGTTACTTGTTGCTGTGGTAAATTATCGTACTCGTTTATCAACACCACGTATTGGAACAGCTTCAAATTACTTAGCTTCTCTTAACCCTGGAGATTGTCTTAGTGGATGGTTCGGTACTATATCTGGTGGTTTTAACTTCGATAGACTTTTGACACTTTCACCTCCTTCTTGTCTATTGATTGCTACCGGCACTGGTATTGCACCGTTCCACAGCTTTTTGTTACATCAGTATAATTCTCTTATGTCTCATTTGAATCATGATATGCTTCCAACAAATGTTCTCTTTTTCGGTTGCCGTTACTCCACAAAAGATTATTATTTCGCTTCAGATTTTAAAATGTTAGAACAAAAGGGTTGGGTAAGGATCATCCCAGCATTTTCCCGCGAAAATACATCTACCGTGTCGCCATTACGACGTCAGTATGTACAAGACCAATTGAAAAATTATCCAGAAATAGTTTGGTCTATACTTAAATCTCCACAAAGTCATGTATTCATTGTGGGGAATCAAAAAACAATGCCTGATGAAGTACGTGAAGCGTTAGTGTATGCCATTGTCAATGCAAATCACACGGATTCCAGTGGTGCTGAGATATTATTAGATCAAATGGAAACAGAAAATCGCATACAGATTGAATCTTGGGCATAACGATGTCCGTATGGAAAAGAGAATGATAGACATATATTCAATGTAGTCTTGGTTATGCATTTAACTTTGTTTCATATGAATATTGTACAAAGTAAACTATGTTTATTGAGAACACTTTCAGTTTTGATATATTGTGTGTTAGACTATGGTTTTCAGTATCTGGTGAATGTATCCTACTCAATTAACTTCGAAAAGTAGGTTCAGTGTGATATTAGTGTTTAAGTGTTAGCATGATAGAACCTTGATCAGTGCATTATTGAAACAGGACTAATTCTAAGCATTCTGATTGTTTTATCTTTCATATCAGATTTGTGTCGTTACGGGTGAGAGTATTCCCGAATTCATGTCAAGAAAGTAAAAGGTCTCTGATGCAAAGCTATCTTTCAAACCTCATATTTATTCTCAAAATAATCATAATTCTATCTTTTCACACATATACTTCAGTGATCGAGTTTTCAGTCAAATATACCAATCCGTCGTAAAAATTACGACCATATGAATTCAATTTTCATAAACCTCTTCATTAAGTCAGCGTGTACTGGTAGAATGACTTGATTTTTAAAAAAATCTTTTAAACAACTAGATTTGGACTGTGGATTATATTACTCCACTTTCTGCAAGATATGACGTTTCTGGATTAATTTTCTTATAGACTCGAGAATATGACTTACTAAAGATTTTCGAGATAGGCTGAAACAGACGTTTATCGATTCCTTGTTTTCGGCGTTTCACTGTTCTACCAAGTCTACAATATCATTTTATTCCTAATAGGCATAAAATTTAAGACAAAGCAACGGACCCCATTAATTTGGTAGTTTCAGTGTTCATAAATTAATTATGTAACTCCAAATGCATATTGTATTGAGAACTGTATATCTCAAAATTGACTAATTTCAACGAATAATTGGATTTCTAGATGAAAAAATATGGGGAGAATCACTGTAAGAAGCATATTTCTCGTTTGGTTTGACATTTTAGAATTTAGTGGTAATACACAGCCTAGTAAATATGTGACAACTCAGAAGCTAAGTTAATGAATAATGTTAGTATAGGGGGAGTTGAGGAGATAATCTTGTTTTCATTTTGCATCACGAACTGACTATAGCTAGACATAAATTAGAAACAAGAGAATACTAAACATATGTTTAACTCAAGAAGTACTAGAACAACCCGTTCAAGGATCATTCCAACGACCTAGTACACGTTCCCAGTATATTAACAAAGTTGACATTCAAATATTGACATATGCGTCTGACATTCAATGATTATCTGTGATTTAAACTAAAAATGATACCAATCGTACAGTACAGTTCTAAATTAGACAGTTACAAATTAAATCTTACTAGTTAAAGCTTAAAAATAAAACTGGGATCAATAGTCAGATAGATGAATTAATCTTGTTAGTATTCCATGTTTACACCAAAGAAATGGAAAGCAAACAATCTTGCCATTTCGCTCCTTTTGTAATTGTAGTTTTTAACGTCAGTATTTACATAATTCATAACATAACTTTTAATGGATAAAATAACTACCAGAATTATAAAAGTATCAACAACCTTAGCTGTAAATAAATTAACAGTATAGTAAAGCAATAATTTTTGAGTGTATGTACCATGATAAAATGATAACAGTCTGAAAGCAACCATTAAAAATCAAATAGGATTGAACAGTGTACTTGTTTCCGTCGCTCATTTTTCACTGGTGCATTACTACGATAGCCTTACATTATATCGAAATCAGATAATTTAGGCGTGAATGTGAGTACAGTGTGTTGCAATAATACTGGGTTAGAATATTGTTATATTCATTAGTATTCTAGATTTAACATTAAATAATTTGAATTTAATCATGTTCTTAAATATATTACTGGCAGAGATATCGACTGTGAATCAATCTTTCTTGTATTTATATTGTGTCAATTAATCCTTTTACAATTTGATTTGTTTTTTTTATTTTTCAGATTAATAGCATTTATACCTATTGTGTAGATGGGTTCACTTAAATGTTTTATTTTAGGATTTCAAGAATTTCTTACAACACCTAGTCTTTTATGGAAAATGCATTATCATTTAACACAGCTCACATCTAGTAATGTACAAAATACTAAAATTCATGAGCATCAACGTGAACGACAAAAACGTTTACAAATTCGAATTCCAAGTTCAGATAGATTAACAAGTATTGCATCACATATTGAACTGCCTGGTTCAAGTGTTGAGAAGTTAGCCAAGTCCAATGTTGATTCACCTATTTCACTTCCGAATTTAACTCCATCTTCTTCATCATCATCACCGTCGTCATTATCAACAACATCAACATCTCAAATTAAACGTTCATCATCAGATTCACAAGGTTTATTGGAACCATTGGCAAGAATGTGGTTGATAAATGTAGGACTGATATTGGTAAGCTGCATGTATATATATGTATATTACATACGTTTAGACCTAATAACTAGTAAGAAGTAGTATAAAGGATTTTGGAGATTGTTGTATTTTCACAGTTGAAATCTGGAAACCCTGGATGATTGTTCCAACTTAGTATGGGACTCCTCAAAGGTGCTTATCCACAACCCCGCACTTGGGCATCGAATCGAGGACCTTCTGTCTCGCACACGAATGCTTTATCTTTAGATTAGTAAGCCACCATCCAATGGTGTTAATCTATAAATCCAATCAATCTTATATATAATTATTCAGTAGGAGTATATGTTGTATCAGTCAGTCATAGGCCTGACACGTGTATACATCGATTTGAGTCCCCACACCAGATCAGCATAGTGATACGAAATTGTCAAGACATGTCAAAGTAGTAGAAGTTTTGAAACTACAATCATGGTAGGAAAGATTAGTTATAGACAATATGGTTTGAGAAAGAAATAATTTGAGGAATAAAAAATATGAGATGGTTTTTATCGTAGAATTCAAGGGGAAATAACGAGTGAATATATCGGACCCTAACCAAGGTAGATTGCACCTAACAACACTGATTAGTCGAGTAGTCAATGATATCATTGTACTAATGCTACATTTTTGTTTGGCCGCTCCTTGGGTTTACATTAGCTTATTGATTACATCTCATTGGAAAAGAATACATGAAATAAGGGAAATTACGAATAAGGTAAAGAAATTTTGTTTTCAGAAATAGGAATTTCTTACGTGATCAATACTTTTGAGTGATGCTACATTCACTTAATTTTCTTTCGATTTAATACTCATGACATCACACGATCACGATAATGTAGGATATAATGTTCACTACATTGTTAGATATTTTTCGTCATATGATGAACAAGATGTAATTAAATAATTTTCTTAGTGTTTCCTTCTTATATTGTTTCTTTTTTTTGTTATACTAAATTTTAGGTGTTAGCCATAATCTCGTATTTATTTTCCCTAATCCCACTGACCCCATCGCTTGGTAAGTAATTATGATGTTTACTTCGAAAATAAAAAAAAGAATTATGTAATATAACATAGAAAAACCGAATACAGATTTGTGGGCTCCAGTTTGAGTCTTATATATTCTGCATAAGGTGAGATTGTGTATGCTGTCTGATTGGCATTCTCTCTGTACTAATATATGTGTTGTAGCAACTTGATCCGATCCATATATTTGTTGGGTTCTATCGTTGCCTATGGCTAACTGGTTTTCAGATTGGCAAACATTGAACTGAGTAGAACGGAGCTTAAGCTGACCACGTAATGGTGAAAATTTTCGAATGTTTCAACCACTAAATACGTTGCGTTTATCTTCCTCTTACCGATGATTTTCATAAAATATGTTTTGTTAAATAAGTCAAGTAATGAAATTGAAGTTATTCTATACGGTAAACGTTATTTGTATCTCTTTCCTTGGCTTTAGGCTGTGTTAAATAAATCTAAATTTAATGTGTAGTCTTATTATGACTGTCTTTACACTTTTGTGTTTCTGATTAATTAGATTAATCGGTTTGATGGAAATGATCATTTTAATTGTTCACTGATGAATGTGATTTTGAACATAGTGTATAGTGTTTCAAGTTCTATTTTATTATTTCATTCGGTGTTTCGGTAATACGAATACTTTTGTAGGAGAATTATTTGGGGTTTGATCTTAGTTCGAGTGATGTAAGAATATGTGTTTTGATGATTATTAGACTTCACTCCGAAGATAATTGAATCCTAATGTGTTGTGTTGAAAAAAAGCCTCGTATTTTAGAAGTGCTACCGGGATCTGTCAAAAAACGATTATTTAACTTTCACTTTTTATCCTGCAAATATGTTCAAATTCCTTCAACTCGAAAAATTTCATTCTTAATAATTGATACTCAAGTTCATACTATGTAAATTATCAATTCCATACCGTTTTCGATTAAATCATCATCAGTACTAACAACAAATAAACTCTTCTCCGTTAAAATTTATTCTCACAATTATTGATAAATAGGATCCAGCATAAATCTTAGGTTATGTTCATTGAGCTTCGTCACAGTTGTTTAGTACATAACACAATGATTTATATACACTTATTGTTTCTTTTTTTCACATATCATGAAAATGCATGTTTTAGACGATTATCATTTTGCACTTTTATTTATTTCTGACGATAAATTTCTGTGCTCTGTTAAAGTTGAGCAAATATGAAGCCTCGACTTCTAACCACTAAGTTACAGGTTCGAACCTTATTCCACTAACGTAGGTTTACGCAGCCGTGTAGTGTCGTTAGCCCAGACAATTAGTGTCACTCATATCCAGTGAATGAGTTAATGTAAAGTAAATTTACTTTGATTTGGGTTTGAGCGCTAACTTCTCTTATGTACAATACGTTATTCATATGTATCCACGCTTTGTTTTTTCGTGCTATATTTCCAATTGGTTCTAGAAGACACGTATAATCATTAGTTGAAAACACTAGTTGATCCTAACTGAAATCAGTGTGTATGAAGTGGATGCACCAAATGTTTAATTTTTCGTAGGTGATAAACGTTATATGATATAACATCACTACATCTGTAATTATCCCGGTTTTGTGGAGATTTGATTTCATAGTTTACACCATGAACTGATTTTAGTTAGACGAATATTGAATACGGACTTATTGGTCTTAAGGCTAAGCTCTGGCTGCGAGATCTGAGGGTTCTGAGTTTGATTTTTAATTAGATCATAAATGGGAGCAAATGAACAGTCGTTCAGTGCTTTCTAGTTCCAATGACTGTTCAACTAAAGTCAACGCACAGTGTTAATCATAGAGTTACTAAATATATCTTGCGTTTTTAGAACCTATTTTGATTCCTTTTCGCATTATTATTGTTGTTAATTCTCTTCTGTATTTCCGTTATTGATTGTGCTCACTCTTTTTAAGCTATGGTATTTTGAATGTGTATATTATTGTTCAATGTCTCAAGTTGTTTTTATCTCTCTGTGGAGGTTGGATGTTTCTATAAACTTATATCAAATACAAATCTCAACTTAGTATTTTTCTGTCAATGTTCATATATCTGTAGGTGTGTGGATAAATCGGAGCATGATAAACCCATTTTTAACCCACTTTTCTTATTGTTCTTTGTCAAATACTCTTGAATTGACTATTTTCTTCTCTCTCTGTCAGTATCGTGGTTCGAGTCTTCACGTTTCTGTCACTTCGTCCATCGATTATTCTCATGCAGTGTACACATAGCATTGCTTTTATTTATGGAGTTAGTCAATCTTTTGTACTTGAAAGTAAGTATTGTTAAGTTTTATCATTCTTTTATTCCGAAAATGTATCGTCATAATTGGAACCATAGTAAACAAACCAAATTACATTTTTGAGTCTAATATACCGATCGGATACAGATTGAATGTACGTTGAAGCATTCTTAGCGTCCCTTATCAATATATTGGGTACCACTATGAATTACGTTTTGTGCCTATTGCCTAACTCCAATATGATCTAATCGTTAATGATGTGGAGTAAATATAGATTCTACTTCGTATATGTTCTGTCGACAAATCCCGCTAATAACAACATAAATATAAAAAGTCGAATACGAGTGTTTCGGATATTTATGTTTCATAAATTCATTTCGGCAAACAGAAAAATGGATGAGAAGCAAAGAAGACAGATATACATACTTAAAATGCTACTCATTACAAACGTTAATATAACTGAAAGTAAATAATTCATAGTGTGACAGCTAGATAGGCATCGGACGCATAAGCACACACAAAGACATAGATATGTGGGGGGGGTACGTGTGCCGAAGGTTACAACTTCCTATGAAGAGAAAGTAAAAATAGCTCAGTAGTCATATGCCATCCGAGTTGTTAAATTTTACTCAGAAGTTAAAATAAATCACGTGTAATAACACAGAAGCTGCTACAACCAGTCTCCCCCTGGAATACAGAAATTTAACGAAAACATGACTGTGTTCAAAGGTAAATTGCGCATATAAGATATATGAAGATCATTTAAAAGGTAGTGCAAAACGTACTGTTTTATATATAATGTGAGTGTGTGGTGGTTAAATATGTTCCTTTAAAGGAAAAAAAGGTATACAAACTGTATGTGAAGTGGTAGGTGACAAGCCATACAAATCTACCCTGACAAAAAATAAATTAATATTGTCATATGATTTTGATTCTTCTAAGAATATTCTGCATTGTTTCATTTGTACTATTTAAACTTGTTTTAATTTTATTTCCGTCATTTATTTGCTCTGAAGAAGTGGCTTACATTAAGTCACGAAACATCACAGATGCAATTCTCTACTCATTGGGACGTATCAAAAAAAGATATACTTATTATTATTTATTTATTTGAACACATAAATATTGGTACAAGAAGGCACCAGATACATATGCGCCACACAAATCTTTTTTGATTTATGTGAGGGCTGTGATATTGCCCGTATGCCCAAACCGAAGCGTTATTAAATTTCCACCCAATGCTCAATTTATTTTAAACCATCAAAATAAACCTTTACATTGATACAGGCTTGTAAAAATTCTTTCTTTTTTATTGTACACAGAAAATATGCGATCGTATAACCTTGTTATCTATGACTAAAGAATATCGGTATATTCAAAGAACTACTACACGATGTTGTATACTTTTTACTGGTTTATCAAAATTTTCTGCTAATGATCGTTCAAATGTTTTCTTAAATTCTGCGATCGGTGGTACAATCATGGATCGTTTATACACACTAATCTTTTTTATGATATTTCAATTACAAGTAGGTTAAATATTCCAGATTTCAGTGGGTTTTTTTTAGTTCCTTTGTGTGTACCTTTTTGATGTCACTGTTTTTATTGGCTGTTAACTCGTTATCAATATGTGACTGATGGCGTTAGTCTCTTCCGACTAATGATTACTATATACGGTATTTTAGCTGAGTGGCTAAAAATAGTACACTTCACTATATCCTACGGATTTCTGTTACCAGCTGTAGAACCTGAAAAGTATGTAGCTATGATAAACTAAGAACCACTTGCAAAATGCTGTGTGTGATCAGCCTCTAACATTTGTCTCTTGGAAGTTTTGGTCGAGATCACTGTTAATTCAGTTTATCTTTCGAGTACCTAAAGAAAACGAATCATCATTTCTTGGTGTTAGTGACCGGGAAGTAACAACTGACCGTATAACTCTTAAAGAATTCAAAACTATCCTGTTCACAGCCGAATTCTAGTTAATGAACTTGACTTCTAGTCATTAATAGGCAGATTTGAATTCAACTCAATCTACCTCAATAAAAGCAGTTGAGTGGTATTCATATCGCTTATACATACTCACGCACAATTAGCGTAACTCAGAACCAGTTTCATAAACCTGTATCTGACTGAATTCTCAGATTAAAATCATTCAAGTGATTACTATACTAATACACTGGACCATTAAAAGGTCACCAAATGGAAAGTCCACATTGTGCCAGTCAAAAACCTAATATAACAAGTCCAAGAAATGGTTCTATTTTATAATGAGTAGATACATATGTATAAATGATTACTTTTGCATGTGATTTATCCCGAAAAATTCCCTCTTACATTCTCCATCTTCTTACTCAGTAGCCGGTTGGAAGCTTGGGGATAGAATTTGTATATCAGTATCAGTCTCGGACACCGTGGGTCATAATAATTATTTTTTGGATTTGCGACTAAAGAACCTTATGAAAATCTGTTGAAGAGCATACTTTTTGTCCATATACCTTTCTTTCAACTCAGTATTAGTTAACTGATATTTTACATGTGCGGTATTTGAATATCCTCAGTTCAATCACATGTGATGATGGATACATATTGCAGGAAAATCCAGAATCCAAATAAAAAAGGCATTCAGTACTCATTTTTTTTTCAGTTATCCTCTATCTTGTGTCGCTTCTCGATGAAAATTGTTTCTAAAGTCCTAACACAATCACCTCAATAAATATGCCAGTACAAAATTTTAATATACAGATTATGTTTTCTGTGTCTACAGTGCGTTTATGTAAGTGTACCTAGTATTTCGTTATGTTCTATGAAATGAGAAACTGTCGGAAAACGCGGCATTTTCCAACATTTCCACCATTTTGAAATAGTTTGACTTGAAACTCACATTGTTAATGGCTGATTCACAAAAATACTTTAAGACTTTTTCTGTTAATACCAGTATTGTCTGACGAAGGCACTCGTGGATAAAATACAGTTGTTCTCGACTGGAAGCCTGTTAGTCTGTTAAAGCTGCGAAATTAATTTGCTAAACTTCCCTTATTTTCTCAATTATTGAAATCTAGGTTAGTGAGTAGTTAGATGGTGGAGCAGGGCGGGATAGGGAGGCAGTAGATAACATCTGCGTTGTGAATGTTCTATCCTAATACATCCAGTTCTCCTAATCACATAACGGAGTTGATGCGCAACGATGATAGAAGATTGTGTAGTTTCAATACTACAATTATTAATATTATTGCAACAAAATTCAACTTGTCAGTGTTGCTGATAAAATTCATCATATTCAATGTGATAAATGTGAATACGATTAAGATATCTCATTTTTCCTGTCAGTCACAACATAAAACTGTGTACATGCGTACATTGGTTCAAGTTGCTATACCCCATTAGCACAGAGAAACGAAATTGGTGGTAACAGTATTAATGGAATAAAAAAGAAATTTTGAGGGATTATGAAGCTTAGAATTTGGGGGAAAACAAACAATGAATTCACCAGCTCCATTGCAAGCGAATTTGAGAGTTGTTGATCGCATATTCAACTGCTTATATCGCTTCCAAATTTTCCACTCCTGAGCATCAATTTCTAAATGTAATATTAATTTTATTTTCCTGATTGTCGTTGATTTGTTTTTACATTTTCTAGTGGAGTTTATTGGCTACGTTGTCAGCAAATTACTGGATTGGTCACGTGATCAACGCTTTCTCTGTTGCTTTCTTGTATGCATGTTATGCATTTGAATATCGTTGGCGACAAGTTGCCGGTAATTTAAACGTTTTGGTTTTCTTAAGGTTGTTATCTTCGTACTTACGAACTGTTATGGATTGACTGATCTATCAATACCTTGTTTCTGCCTCTGTCCTCAGCTATTTTCCAGCTTATATTGCTATATGATATGCTGGCTGGCATCATCATTGTAAGTTGGATAAAAATGACATCAGTTTATCGAGTAAGAGGTTGTTGGCTTGAGTCATGTTGGTAGGTGTAGACTTCCTGATTTTGGGCCTAATCAGCGGTCAGAAAGGTTGGGTGGTGGCATGACGCAAAATCAGTCTCCATTGTACAGTTTCATTTATTCTCCATCTTCATATTTTAAGTGTAGTAACATTCCACAGTTTTCATTGTTTGGTCTCATTTGTTCCTTTTAAACTATCTCATGGTCCACTAGGTTTTTTGATACATTTTTAGTTGGGTCACGTGATTAAGTTGTGCTGTTTAGTTTGTAAAAAGCGTTGGTAGTGTGTAGTTCGCTTCAAAATTAATTTGAAGCTACTTTTTTGAAATTTATGGTTATAGTTGTGAATTTAGATCAGTGGCTCTGTGGTTAAGGTTTTTGACTTTTAATCCTAAATCAATGGCTTGAACCCTATTCCACTTACTTTAGTTTACACAACCTGATAGTATCACTATCCTTCATACTAAAAGTACAACTTTTAACCAACCACACAGGTCTGTACTTAGTAAGTGGGATAATACTATCTTATTGTAGTCAAACTTAGTTTCTCTACTTTAGTTCTCATCTTGTCACTCTCTCTCTCCTCTTGTTGTAATGATGTGAAGTGTAGTAGTGGAGACTGATCCATTCTCCTGTCTTTATTCTACATTGAGGATGACGTACGCGGTAAGTAACATTGTATAACACATTATTACAGAGATAAAATTACATGTATTGAAAGAAAAAAATTGTCCTTGAATAATACCTTTTGTATGTTAATTTTTTTATCGGTCTTCATTATTTCTTGTTTTAAACCTTCATTAGGCACTACCTTTGAAGGATTTTTAGGACGAATTGTTGATAATTGGACGTATTTCCTCGGATACGGTCTACCACTTGGTTGTGCATCTATTGTTTTCCCACATTTTATTGGTTGGGGTGGTGTAATTCTTGCAATAGGTTATCCAGTTCTTGTAATTGGTGCATTAGGTAGTCGTTGGCGTCCATTTGATGTGAATATTAATATGAAAGATGAATGGAAATTATTTCATTTATTACGTTATTGTTTAATTATTTCACTTCGACCAGCATTATGGGTTTCTAATTTAGTTGTACAAACTACTGCATGGTTTGTTTATCAATTTTGGTTTCGACAAAATTATCCAATTACCAATGATGAAAGTCGTCAATTTTGAATATTTATTAGTATATTCATTTGTATGGTTAACTTCAATTTATTTTTAGCGGTCAGATTTTCGGTTAAAGAATCAAATGAATATTATTTTTGGTCATAAAAACACGTTATATCACATTTTCGTTGCATAATAATATATATACTTTCAATGACACGATTGTTATGCAAAGACGTTTCAATTATCATAATTAATTATTGTGCTTAATGGACACTTTTAATTTGAAGCTTGTAACATTTACAAATTGTAACCACTCATTATTTTCTAATTCTATTTAGATTTTATTTAGTTCTCAGATATAATAATGAGTTAAATGAATATAATTTTATTGTTTTGTCACTTTGTCACCTACACTCTCTTGTATGTTTATTCAGAGTTGAATTTCGAACTCACCTTAGTGCCAAATCATTTTACTCTTCATTTCGTTCTTTTTTATTTTTCCAAAAAAAAAAAGTTTTATTACACGGATCTACATAGGTGTATTAATATTGTAACAGTAGTAGTAGTAGTGTTTATATAAAGACAGAGAAAGTAAATGATTAACTCATTTACCAGGTATACAATTTCGTATATTTAATTTTGAGTCACTCTATAATTGTAAGAGCTAATGATATACTATTACTCAACTGTTTAAAGCAAAGTGTAAATGAAATAAATGGGATTAAAACCCGTGACCTAGGTATTGAAAATTTAACACCTTAACTACTGTAACTATCACTTCATGTAAGACATCCCTAAAAAAAAAACACAGCTGAACTTCTTGACTCTACTTGTTAATATCAAAGTATACGTTGATGTTGAACAATGTAATCATCAATAATGTTTAGTTAGTTATATTTTCTATTTGAACATTTTCATTTGTTTAATTGCTTATTATTTTTTAGTTTAATTTTTTGCTTTAAATATTTTTCTTTTGTTTGTTACTAAGTTACATCATTTCTTAATGTGTATGATTTATCCATCATACAGGGATACAACAAGAAAGATAGTAGTAAATCATTTTCCCCTTAAAATAATCGTCAATTCTACCCATTGTAGTCTAATATATAAATATCATGTATATTGATAGAAGAATTATATTCATTTGTATGTGTTTGTGCTTTTTTTTTTTTCTGTTGTCAAGGGAATTCTATCCTATATCATTGAAATCATGTGTAAATCATAATGAGTTGAGCATTATATTTGTATACTGAAAAAATGTATATTTGTTGTCTTTCGTGTACGTTAGTTTTATATTTCCACCTAATAATTAAAAAATAAATTCATTAAGCCGTATATATGTGTTCTTTAATTTTTATCTTCATCATATATATGAATCCAGAGGATGGTTAATGTTTTTTTTTATTGACATCATAAACCGATTGGTGTTCGACCACGATTGTAAACCTGGAAGCACTGGATGGCCGTTTCATCCTATTGTGAAACTCCTCAGGAGTGTGGGTCCACGATCCCGCTCGCTGGATTTAAATCCAGGGCCTTCAGTCTCATGCATGAACGCTGAACCTGTAGACTAGTGAGCTGGCATTTACCGATGTTAATGCCTGGCGCGAGACTGATAGGTCCTGGGTTCGAAGCCCGTGAGGCGGGGTCGTGGATGCACACTGCCGAGGAGTCTTGCAGTAGGACGAAACGGCCGTCCAGTGCTTCGGGGTTTTACACGGTGGTCTAGCTTCAATTGACTCTTGATCTCAACTGTTGAAATTACTACAATCTCCACAAAACCCCTTCTGATATTATCTATTTGTTCATATTAAAAGATGAAATTTTTTTTATTGTGAAAGAAAGATAATGACAAATTTCGATTTTCCAAAAAGATAAATCTCATTAAGGAAATGAAGCTAATTACTACAACTGGGGTACAAAGAGTGATTTCGTTTGAAAAAATGTCTTTTTCACCCACATACATTACTCTCTAGATATACAAACTTTTAAATTGCTTGTCATTAAATAGCAATGCAACCAAGGGATTCTGGCAGTTTTTTTTGAAAATTAATTTGGATTTCGATTGTCTAGAATGTACGGTATACATAGTTGTATATAATGTTTCCTGAAAAAAAACAGAAAAGTTCCTGTTCTTCAACCGAACCAAGTAGATTTTAAATTTTCGAATAACGATTTCAACCGACTCATGTTCACATGGAACCTAATATTACTATTCTATTTCGATCATTTGTTGAAAAAAGGCATGACGTAACAAAATAGATGACTTATTATTCGCTACTTTGTTTCGTAATAATTCATTACACTTTGAATTGGACTTATAAGCGATTGATACAGTACACGAAACATATGTACATGTTAGCTTGAAGATAATCTAAATCAATGGTACCTAGTTTCCCCATGCCAATTGATTTTATTACCTCGGTTCTGAGCCAAGTTTTGAAATATAGTCCTTAGTTTTCTGTAAAAGTATACATTAGGGAACAACAACAACAAACCGACAAAATTACTAGAATCAATCCTATGCAAACCAAAGGATGAAATAACAAAGGAAGACAAATCAAACATTATCTACAAAATAAATGCCAACTGCGAAAAACACTACATCAGACAAAGCGGACGCCACCGTCTACATGAACATCAATTAGCAGTCAAACGCCATGATACTTCCCCACTTATATCGATATACGTGGACAACGGCGGACACCCATTCGATTAGAAAACTGTGGGTATCTTGGACAGAGGAAATTCCAAAACCATCAGAGAATTTTTAGAAGCCTGGCATTCAGGTCAATCAATAAACACATTGAAATCGATCCAGTTTATCAATCAATCAGGAGAATTATGCACAAATATAGGGACAAGAACCAAACCAATGGGAGACAACCAAAACAAGTAAACAATGACAAATTTAAGGTCATTAAGAACCCATCACCATCGAGGTGTACAGAACAAGCTGTGAAATGCATATGGAGAAATTCAAACACTTCACTTCTATCTGAAGTTTGTGCTGATGATGTCGTTCAATAGAGTGATGATAGATCTACGACTAAACCATCCATCTCATAGAACAAAACTCCATCAAAAACAACTTTAATGAGTTTCTCGCCTGTTCTTAGCCAATCAGAAGACAGTTTTTATGAATGAAAAGCTTGTGGAAATTTAGACAATGTTGTCACCGACGTTATTTAATTAATGGATCTTTTGGTATTGTTTTGGTTATCGTGCCTTTAAGTCAAAGGATCAACGACAAAATCGTTCTAATGGACAAAGTTTGTTCATCTTTCCGAATTCTTATAAGGATCCAAACAGATTTTTGGGTCCCTACATTGTCCCTAGTTAGAGTAAAAGTTTAGGGTTGACGTGTTTATTCACAAACTGGCATCAGTTGTAATATAAGTTGCTGCATAGTCATATGGATGGATAGATTTTACGCAAAAGTATAAGGGGTATTCCAGTGAGGTAATTCAATCAGGTCAGAACTTTTTTCAGGATTAAAAGTTAAGTGTTAGAGATAGAGTCAATCTACCTGTTATACAAAAAATACAGATACAACTAAGTATTTGAAACGCTTAACACAATCACTTTCACTCTACCGCAGTAAAATGTAATTTTCCGCTCTCATTTTGACTTCTGAGCAGTATACAAAGGTAATTTCACTTCTCGTCTCAATGCTTCGGTTTCTCTTACTCTTCGAGAAACATAGGCAACCCACCTAGATTCTCCACCGAATTCTACCCTGGGAAATCTTTTCCAGTTGCTATTCATTCTTATCATTTCTGCCTCCACTTCTCTACACAGTGCGCTCCATGGTCTTTCCCCCTTTCCTTTCCTCCACTTGTACCCCTTTTGGGGTCGGGGCTTATCCTAAGCCCAAGTAAAGGAGCAAGGTCGGGCATACAATCTGCAATCCCATCCCGTAGGAAACAACCATGATAAAAAGTACTAACCAGGAAAAAACGTTTTAGACCATTCGATTTCTCGCAAAAATTAGGGAATCACATTATTGGTTCTGATTGGTTTATAGCTGAAGTATATTTTTGCTCAGTTTCTAGTTATACACTATTGAAATTCATAGACATATTTATCAGTGATACCGCTAAAATGGGTAAACTAATATTTATCTCATCAACTTTCCGGTGGTATATTACCAAATTATATGGCTTTCTCTAATGAACAAAGTTGTTCAGTTAACCAACGACAATATGATTAGTTGTACTGCTGTTTGTGTTAAAATGTAACGTAGTTTATTTAGTGAGTAAATAAAAGATCTTAAAAGGATAAGAAAGTAAAGATACTTACCAGATTATTTCCATTTTATTGTTACTTTCATCATTACCTATTTATATATTAGGTATGTTCTGCATATCAATGAAACGTTTTCTCTTGTATGACTTCCTTTCATGCTCACATAATGATTTTATGTTAAATAAAGAATAATGCAATAAATTTACAAATGAATCATGTGTCATCGAACATATTTCTCACTGATTCCTAATATATTTCAAATGAACTTTTATTAAATACACAATCAGCGACAAATTACTTGTTGATCAATTTCTATTGATTGCCTAAGAAGTCAGCGCAAATATCTCAATCCTAAAGGAGGTCAATCGTTATCTGAATAGCCTAGTTGTAATATCTCCTACGGTAATATATAATGACGTGGTTTGAAATCGCACAGGAGGTCGAAGTTCTCTTAGGATTGATGAATGCTATTTAATACGAAGCTTGGATCAATAATACATACCTATTCATTGACTTCAACCATAAAATGCACGGAACTTCAAGACATTTGATATCATCTTAAACTATTTGATAAGTGGCTGTGAATAAAATTCAATCTTAATGTAAAAATCCAGAGCTAATAAATAAAAGGTAATTGATAAGTTGTGTTACTTTTCAACAACTCAACTATCATAGTGCTCTATATCTGCTAACATTCTTTTTTTTTCAATTGAATCAACGACAAAGGTGAAAAACGAAACAATATTGTGAATATTTAATCTGTTTACTAATCAGTAGTATAAAAATGTTTTCTAAAAAAACATGCCAGCATCAATAACATATATGGGCAAAATTACTGTAAATTTTTTAAAATGATTACCATGAAGTCAAGTATTTCAAGGTATACAAACAATAAAAACGCTAAAGTTTAAAGAAAATCAATAAAATATTGCCATAATAAAGGACAAATTAATAGTAGATACATATTAATTGATTTAAAATTAGATGTATTACACAAATCTTTATTACAACAATTTACTGTAAATTGTACTGATTTATAACTCCAATAAAGCCAATTTGATAATGGTTTACAATGTTGTACACATTGTCTTGTTGCTATACCTCCTAAGAAATAACGTGAATGTTCTATGGTCTATAAAGATTTTCGCAAATTTTTTTTTATACAGAAAATAAAACAGAACAAAGTTTTAGAATTTAATAAAATTCTTGGTGTAATGACAAGTATTGGGTGAATATAAATTGTTTATTTATTTTATTTATTTATTGGGATCATGAACTGATTGATGTTGGAACACCTTTGAAAACCTGGATGCATTGAGTGGCCGTTTGGTCTTATTGTGGGACTCCTCAGAAAGTGCGCATCCACGACCGTGTTCGCGTGATTCGAACCCAGGGCCTTCGGTCTCGCGTGCGAACGCTTAACCTACTGGAACACTGAGCCGGTATTATTATTTGTCTAATTTTTAATGCTGAATGTGTTAGTTTTAGTGACCTTATCGATTTTAAAATATAGGGTCAAACATCCATATCATTTCGATAGCACACTGTGGGAACTCTTGTTGTATTCCACACTCAAACAACATTTTATATCCACGATATCAGTATTGTCTATTCCTTTAACAGAAATTCGTTTGATATACACCAAATATCAACGTAAAATCTAATGGAAGTTAGCTATCAATATTATTGGGTTAGGCTACATTATACTTCGAGTATAAATGCTTAATTCCTCAAGTTGCTATAATACAAAATTGTATTAAAACTATGTCTAAACTCACCAATAAAGTTTGCATTCATGAAATATGTATAATATTAACTAATGTGAATGAAATCGTCTACTTTCATCATAAAATTTCAGGATATAAATGTATGTACCATCATGGATGTTTGCTTTGATTCAAAAAAGATTTTTGTATAAATTACTTGTTCTGAGCCTGGATGTTCTACGTAAATTTTAATTCAGATACTTATTTTCCTTAGGATCCATGAATTCATGTAAACCATTAGTTTTTAATAAAGGTTTTCCTAGTTCATCTATTTAAACTTTCAGTAAA